GCGAACGGACGGCGAGGTGGAGCTGGTGGTCAGGCTGGTGCATGACACCGCCGGTCGTGCCGGCTGGGCTCGGGCTGGTTGTCGCTGCATGCGCCGATCGGCGCCAGCGTCGTCGCCCGCGTGCATCGCAATCCCGGTTTCCATCGGGTGCCTGCTGCGCCGATGGTGCTGGTCGGCAACGGCACCGGCATCGCCGGCCTGCGCAGCCTGCTGCGCGAGTCCGCGTATGCAGGCGAGCACGGGCACTGGCTGTTGTTTGGCGAGCGCCAGCGCGCGCACGACCTGCTGTTTGCCGACGAGATCGAGGCCTGGCAGGCGCAGGGCCATCTGGCGCGGGTGGACCTGGCGTTCTCGCGCGATGGCGGAGGTGGCTATGTGCAGGATCGCCTGCGTGCGGCCTCTGATGTGCCTGCGCGACTGGATGCAACGCGGCGCGGTGATCCACGTCTGTGGCTCGCTGCAGGGCATGGCCGAAGGCGTGGACCAGGTGCTGCGCGCTGCGCTGGGCGATGAAACGGTGGAAACGCTGCTGGAGAACGGGCGCTACCGCCGCGACGTGTACTGAGTCACAGGAGGAGTGCCGGCCCAGCGGCCGGCACTACCGGGGCGGGATCACGCCGCGGCGCGGGCCTGCCGCGCCGGCTGCAGCGGAAGGCTCCCACCGCTTCGGCCAGGGCATGCACCTGCGCCTGCATCTGTGCAGTCGAGGCACCGGCCTCTTCCACCAGGCTGGCATTGCGCTGGGTACTGGCTTCCATCTGCACGATGGTCTGGTTCACCTGTGCGATGCCGGCATGCTGGTCCCTGCGATGCGCTGCGGATACCGGCCAGCAGGTCCGCCAACTGCTGCACGCTGCCGACGATCTCGCCCATTGTGGTGCCGGCCTGCTCGGCCTGCTGGTTGCCCTGCCCGACACGCGCCACCGAATCCTCGATCAATCCCTTGATCTGCTTGGCCGCCTCGGCACTGCGCTGGGCCAGCAGCCGCACTTCCGCAGCCACCACGGCGAAGCTGCGGCCCTGTTCGCCGGCGCGCGCTGCTTCCACCGCTGCGTTCAGTGCAAGGATGTTGGTCTGGAAGGCGATGCCATCGATCAGCTGGGTGATGTCACCGATCCGCCGCGAGGCTTCGCTGATGCCGTGCATGGTCGCCACCACCTGGCCCACGGCGTCGCCGCCGCGCTGGGCCACCGCTGCCGCACCCTTGACCAGCGCATCGGCGCGACCGGCCGCGTCGGCATTGCGGCCCACGGTGTCGGTCAGCTCATGCATCGACGCCGCGGTTTCTTCCAGGTTGGCCGCCTGCTGCTCGGTACGCTGCGACAGGTCGTAGTGGCCAGCGACGATCTCACCAACGCCGGTATCCAGGCTGGAGGTGGCCTGCTGGATGCGGGTGACGATGCGGCCCAGCTGCGCGACGGTGGCGTTGGCATCGTCGCGCATGCGCGCGAACACGCCCTGCAGGTCGCCGTCCATGCGCACGCTGAGGTCGCCGCGTGCCAGCGCGGCCAGCAGCGCCTGCAGGTCGCCGAGATTGGTTTCAAAGGTCGCCAGCAGGCGGTTGATGCTGGTCGACAGCGTGCGCACGAAGCCCTGCTTGCCGTCCAGCACGATGCGACCGTGCAGGTCACCGTGCGCGGCGGCGTCGACCAGTGCGGCCACTTCGGTTTCGAGCAGGGTTTCCAGTGCGCGGCTGCGCCATTCCACCGCCACACCGAGGAACTGTCCTTCGTCGGTGATGGGATTGGCGATCAGCTGGTAGCGAACACCGTCTTGGCCGATCTCGCGTTCTTCGCGCTGGCGTACGCCGGCCAGGCTGGCCAGCGCCGGATGCAGGCGCACCGCTTCGCTGGCCACGAGCGCGTCAGCCTGCAGGTCCAGCTGCTGCAGCAGCGCCGGGTTGGCATAAGCCACCAGCCCTTCGGCATCGATCACCATCAGGCCGGTCTGTGCGCTGTCCAGCGCCTGGCGCACGCGGGTATTGCCGCGCGCCACCGCGCGCTCGGTCTCGATGCGCGCACGCAGGCGCTGCTGCATGTCGACCAGGCGCTGGGCGAGCTGGCCGATCTCATCATTGGCGTTGTACACGCGCAGGGTGGTGTCCAGGCGGTCGTCCGCGATATCGCTGGCGAAGCGCAGGGTGTCCTGGATCGGCTGGCGCACCGCGCGCAGGACCAGCACCAGGCTGGTGATCAGCACGCCGGCAACCAGCAGCAGGGTCAGCGCGAACAGTACGCTCATGGCGCGCGTGCCGGCCTGCTGGCGCGCCTGTGCCTCGGCCAGCGCCGCCACCTGGGCCTGCTGGAAGGCGGCCAGTGCCGGCGCCACGCCGGCGGCGGTGTCCAGCAGCGACTGCGCCTCCACATCAGGCCGACGCGGGCGGCGGTGTAACCAGCAAGGCGACCTGATAGGCCTCCATGCCGCTGCGCAGGGCATCCTGCACATCGGTGGACAGGCCGGCCAGCGCGAGGTCGAACGGCAGCTTCTCTTCGCTGGCACGGTCGGCATGGGCAGAGTCACCGTCGAGCAGCAGCAATGCTTCCTGTCGGCGCATCTTCTGCAGGGACAGCGCCAGCAAGGGGCGCTGCAGCGCATCGACCTGCGCCTGCAGGGTGTCGGCGGCCTGCTGCAGCTGCGCGGCAAGGCCGGCATCACCCCGGCCCATCTCGTCGACCCGTTCGAACAGGGCCGCGACGCCCTGAGAGAACGCGTCCGCGGCTTCGGTCAGCACCTGCAGCGCCTTGCGCCGCCCGGCATCCATCGGTATCGCGCGCAGCGCCTGCAGGTCGGCCTGCAGTGCCTTCTGTGTGGCCAGCAACTGGTTGCGGTCAGCATCATCGAAACTGCGGGCATACTGGGTCTGCAGGCGCCGGGCTTCGGCCACGCGCGTGGCCAGGCTGGCGGCCAGGTCGCTGCCGCGCTGGTAACTGGCCTGATTGCGTGCGGCCTGTGCGCTGGCGTGGCCGGTCCAGGCGTAGACTGCGGCGATGCCACCAGGCCCAGGCCACAGACCCAGAGGGTTGCCTTGAGCTTGTGGCTACGCTGAGCCGGTGCGGCTGCAGCCACAGCAGCAGGTTCGACGACAGCACGCTCGACGACAGCACGCCGGGCGACGCCGCGCGCAGGCGGGCCAGATGCGTGCGCAGGGACCGGAGGTGGGGAACGACGGCCGACATGACAGACTCCAGGCGGAGGACGCACCTGTATCGGCTGGATTCCCGGCAACTTTAGGCCCGTTTTCGTGCCACTGCGACGCTCGCGGGCGGACGCGGCCTTTGTACCGGCACAGGCGACGGGGGCATGACACCGGCGCTGCGCTTGACCTCAACCCCGGTTGGGGGCGCACAGTGGACGTCCCTCCCCTGCCCGGTGTCCGCATGACGACGCTCGATATCCCCCGCTACCTGCAGCGCCTGCAGCTGGATGCACCACCCCCGCTGACCCTGGCCGGCCTGTCACTGCTGCAGCAACGCCATAACGCGCTGCTGCCGTTCGAGACGCTCAGCTGCCTGCTGCGTGACGCGGTACCGATCGACCTGGACAGCGTGCAGCGCAAGCTGCTCGACGAGCGCCGGGCGGTTACTGCTTCGAACTCATGGCGGCCTGCTGGCGCTGCTGCAGGCGCTGGGCTTCGATGCCCAGCCGCTGAGCGCACGCGTGCTGCTGGCGGCACAGGATGGCGAGCTGACCGCACGGACCCATCTGCTGCTGCGCGTGCATGTGGAAGGCGAGGACTGGCTGGTCGATGCCGGCTTCGGCAGCCTGACCCCCACCGTGCCGCTGCGCCTGCACGACACCGCACCGCAGGCCACGCCGCACGAGCGCTACCTGCTGCAGCGGCTGGGCGATGACGGCGATTTCGTGCTGTCAGCCGAATCCAGCGATGGCTGGCGCGCGATGTACCGCTTCGACCTGCAGGCGCCTGCGCCGATCGACAACGTGGGTGGGCAACTGGTACGTGTGCACCCACCCCGACTCCAGCTTCCCGGGCCAGCTGCGCGCGTCGCTGACCGGGCCGGACTGGCGCCGCACCATCGGCAGCGGCAACTACACCGAGTACCGCCCGGGGCAAGCGCCGGACAAACGCCCGCTGCACGATGTCGGTGACGTGCGCGAGGTGCTGCAGCAGCACTTCGGCCTGCAGCTGCCGGATGACCCGCGGCTGGACCCGGCGATCAATGACTGGCTGCAGCGCTCGCGCGCCGCAACACCGTAGCGTCGAGCTTGCTCGACGGAGGCGTTGGTAGCGCCCGTCAACAGCAGTCGAGCAAGCTCGACTCTACAGAAGCGAGAGCGGCGGTGTTGGCCGGAATGATGCCGACGGCATATGAGCGCGTAGCGTCGAGCTTGCTCGACGGAGGCGTTGCTAGCGCCGTCAACAGCAGTCGAGCAAGCTCGACGCTACAGAATCGCGCGCGCCTGCAGCGCGATGCGGTTGCCTTCGCTGTCGCGGATCTCGGCCACGCGCCAGTCGCCGGCGTCGGCCGGGCCGAAGCGCAGTTTCGGCGCCGGCCTGCAGCGCACGGTCGAGGCTGGCCTCAAGATCATCGACACCGATATAGAGGCGCGCGCCCTGTTCGGAGGGCTGGTAGTCCGCCCCCTGCACCAGCGACAGGCTGGCACCCGTCGCGTCATCCGAGAACGGCAGGTAGGCCATGTGGCAGTCATGCAGCAGGATCGGCTCGTCCACCACCACCTGCAGCCATTGCTGATAGAAGGCGATGGCACGAGCCAGGTCACTGGCGGGGATCTCGACATGCAGGATCGGGTTCACGGGTTTTCCTCGCGCGGCGCAGTCAGATGATGCGCAGGGTAATCGCCTTCAGTACCGCACGGGTACGATCGCGGGTACCAAGCTTGTCGAGAATGGCGGAAACATAGTTCTTCACCGTGCCTTCGGCCAGGAACAGGCTGCGCGCGATCTCCTTGTTGCTGTAGCCGCCAGCCAGCAGGCGCAGGATCGCCACTTCGCGTTCGCCGAAGGTATCGCTGGGAGGCGCTTCGTCGTGAAAGCGGTTAGCGGGCGCGTACCGGCTCGGTGCTGACCGGCATCAGCAGCGTCTCGCCGGCGGCGACGCGCTCGATCGCCTCGCGCAGGTCGGCAGGCGCGGCGTCCTTCAGCAGGAAGCCCTGTGCACCAGCCTCGCTGGCACGCAGCAGCAGGTCGCTCTCATCGAAGGTGGTCAACAGCAGCAGCGGCGTGGCATCGCCACGTGCGCGCAGCTGGCGAAGCGCTTCGATGCCATCCAGGCCCGGCATGCGGACATCACTGAGCACCACGTCCACCGGCTGCGTGAGCAGCGCATCGAGTAGTGCCTGGCCTTCCTCGGCCTCCAGCACCACCTCCACCCCCAGCCCCTGCAGCAGCGCACGCAGGCCGGCGCGGACCAGCGCCTGGTCGTCGGCCAGGGCAACACGGATCGCGGCGCCGCTCATGCCGGCACCCATGCGGTCAGCAGCATGCCGCCCTGTGCGGTGCGCGCGAGTTCCAGCCGGCCATGCACCGTGGCCAGGCGCTCACGCATGCCGGCAATGCCGTTGCCTTCGCGGATGCGTTCGGCACGCTGGCCGTCATCATGGATATCGATGCGCAACCGGGAATCCTCTTCGTTGATCGTCAGCCATACGGTGCCTGCGTTGCCATGCCGGGCCGCATTGGTCAGCGCTTCCTGCACCAGCCGCAGCACAGTCTCGGCCATCAGCGGATCGGTCACGCGCACGCCCTCGCCGATCCGCAGTTGCAGCTTCGGCCGTGGGAAGGGTGCGGCCAGCGCGTGCAGTGCGGTGGCCAGATCGAGGCCGCGATCATCGCGCATCGACTGCACCACTTGGCGGATGTCGGCCAGCAGTTCGCCCGACAACTGCTCGGCCAGCACCAAGCCGTCGCGCCCGGCCAGCGCAGGATCAGCCGCCAGTGCGCGCAGGTTCAACCGCATCGCGGTGAGCTTGTGGCCGGCCACATCATGCAGTTCGCGCGCCAGGCGCAGGCGCTCGGCATCGCGGGCGCTGTCGGCCAGCAATGCGCGCGTGGCCAGAAGATCCGCGTTGACCCGGGCCAGGTCATCGCGGGCCAGGGCCGTGCTGCGTGCGTAGTGTGCGGTCAGTGCGGCGAACGCCTGGAAGCCGCCGTACAGCAGCACCACCAGCAGCGGCTGGCTGAAGCCACTGTGGCGCAGCACCGCATACATCGCCAGGTTGGCTAGCAATGCGACACCCAGCACGAAGCGCGGCGGCCAGTGCTCGGCCAGCTGCGCAACCAGCACCACCAGCAGCACGGGGGCGGTGCCGGTGCGCGGCTGCAACGCGACCAGGGCAATCGCCAGCAGCGCCTGCAGCACGGCGGCGACGGCTCGCACGCGCGACGGCATCGACGCCCAACCGTGCAGCACGAACAGCAACAGGAACCCAGCAAGCAACAGCAGGCTGGGGGCGGCCTCGCCGCGCTGCACCGCGAATGACAGGCCGACCGCCAGCACGGTCACCAGACCGGCAAGGCTGAGCGGACGCGACAGGTGGCGGAGCAGGCTGGGCATGGCCAGATGCTGACGGCCACGCCTGCCGTCGGCAATGGGTCCAGCGCAGAAAGTGACTTCTGGCACGTCGAATCGATGACCACTGGCCCTGAAACCAGCCCCACGCCCCGCGCAGACTGACCCCACTCCACAACACACCGCCCACTTCCGGAGCCACTGCCATGATCCGTACCGCCCTGCTCAGCACCGTCCTGACCGCCCTGGCCCTGGCCGGCGGCGCCCATGCCGCCGATCTGGCCGTGACCGTACACGATGTCCGCGTGCAGACCGGTACGCTGCGCGTTGCCCTGGTCGACAACGCCACCGCCTGGGACGGCAAGGCTGCGCCGGTGCAGGCGCAGCAGGCCAGGCCCAGTGGCGACAGTGCCCACTTCGTATTCAAGAACGTGCCCGCCGGCAGCTACGCGGTGCTGCTCACCCACGACGAGAACGACAACGGCAAACTCGACACCAACCTGGTTGGCATGCCGGTGGAAGGCTATGGCTTCAGCAACAACCCGCAGGTGATGCGCAAGCCGACCTTCGACGAAGCGCGCGTCAACGTGCCGGCCGCCGGTGCCGCCATCGACATCACCCTGCGCTGATTCCTGCATCCAGACCCGAGGCCATCATGGACCGTCGCCGCTTCCTTCGTACCCTGCTCAGCAGCAGTGCCTGTCTGGCGCTTGGCGCCACCGCCCTGCGCAGCGCACCCGCCCTCGCCGGCGACCCCGCGCACTTCGCGCAGGGCCTGCAGGAGCACCCGTGGCTGCTCGGCTGGCGCAGCGTCAGCAGCGAAAGCCTCGGCCCGGCCACCGTGCAGTTGCAGGGCCGGTTGCCGGCCGGGCTGGCCGGTACGCTGTACCGCAACGGCCCGGCCTGGACCGAGCGCGATGGCTTCCGCTATGACCACTGGTTCGACGGCGACGGAATGGTGCATGGCTGGCGCTTCAACGGCGATGGCAGCCTGACCCACCACGGGCGCATGGTGGCCACACCGAAGTTCAGCCGTGAACAGAAGGCCGGCCGCTTCCAGTACCCGGCGGCGGGCACCAGCGTCCCCGGTGCACTGGCGGTGCGCAACAACGACGATGCCAACGTCGCCAACACCTCGGTGACGATGATCAACGGCCGCCTGTTCGCGCTGTGCGAATCCGGCTCGGCGTTCGAGGTGGACCCCGATTCGCTGCAGACCCTCGGCCCGGTCACCTGGCGCCCGGACCTGGCCGCGCTGCCATTCTCCGCCCATCCCCTGCCCGACCGCGACGGCAGCGTGTGGAACTTCGGCTCGATCAGCCTGATGGGCGGCCACGGCCTGTTGGTCTGGCACATCGGCAAGGACGGTCAGCTGCGCAGCGCCAACGTGATCGAAACGCCGGAGCACGGCTACCTGCATGCCTTCGCCATGACCGAACAGCATCTCGTTTTCGTGCTGATGCCGTTCGACTTCACCGGCACCGGCGGCAGCTTCTTCGAACGCATGCAGTTCGCACCGCAGCGCGCGGCGCGCATCGCGGTAGTCGCCAAGGATGCGCCGGACAAGGCGCAATGGTTCGAGGCGCCGTTCGCGGCGATCTACCACTTCGGCGATGCGTTCACTCGCGACGGCGGCATCGTGCTGCGCGCGGTGCGCCACGACGACATCAACGAAGCGCGCTCACCGATGAAGGAAGCAATGGCCGGCGATGGGGCACATGCGGCCAATAGTGGTGCCAGCCTGGTCGAGCTGCACCTGGACCTGCGCCGTGGCCAGGCGCGCTGGGAGTCGCTGGGCATCAGCGCGGTGGAGTTTCCGCTGTTCGATCCGCGCTCGGCCAACACCCGTGGCGCGCGGCTTTACGCACCCACCATCGATGGTCCGGCCAACGCGCCCTACTTCAACGCCGTGGCTGCATTCGACATCGAGCGGGGCCGCCGCCAGCTGTGGCACTACGGGCCGGACATCATGGCCGAGGAACACGTATTCGTGCCGCGCCCGGGCAGCCGCAACGCCGACGACGGCTGGCTGATCGGCACCCTGCTCGACCCAGTGAGCAAGCGCAGTGGCGTGGCCGTACTCGATGCGCGCCACCTGGACGATGGCCCGATTGCACAGGCCTGGCTGCCCTATGCGGTGCCACTGGGTTTCCACGGCATGTTCGCCGCGCGCGGCTGAGTGCACGCCGCGCGGACACCGGCGCTGGCATGCTGGGGTTCCCCTTGCTGCGGAGCCCGGCATGTCCCTGGCAGACCATCGAAACGCGCTGGCACCGCAGGGATTCCTGCGCGTGGCGATCAACCTGGGCAATCCGGTGCTGGCACAGGGTGATGCGCGTTCGCCGCGTGGCCCCTCGCTGGAACTGGCCACCGCATTGGCACAACGGATGGGGGTGCAGGCCCGCTTCACCTGTCACGACGCGGCAGCCTCGGTGGTTGCTGCGGCCGCCGAAGACGAATGGGATCTGGCCTTCCTGGCGATCGATCCGGCGCGGGCGGACCGCATCGCCTTCAGCGCGCCGTACGTGGAAATCGAAGGCACCTACCTGGTGCGCGAGGACAGCCCGGCGCAGCAGGTGGCCGACCTCGACCGCGACGGCCTGCGCATCGCGGTGGGCCGCGGCGCGGCCTACGACCTGTTCCTCAGCCGCGAGCTGCGCCACGCCTCGATCGAACGCGCCGACACCTCTGCGGCCGCCATTGACCTGTTCGACCAGCAGCACCTGGATGCTGCCGCCGGCGTGCGCCAGCCACTGGAAGCCTGGGCGCGGTCGCATCCTGGCCACCGCGTGCTGGCCGATCGCTTCACCGTGATCCAGCAGGCGGTCGCGGCGCCAGCCTCGCGCCCGGCCGATGCGTTGCAGGCACTGTTCGAGGAAGTGCAGGCGATCAAGGCAGGCCCATTGCTGGGCCAGGCCTTCGCCCGGGCCGGGCAGGCGGTCACGCTGGTGCGGTGAATGCGGCGCACACGCAGTCGAGCATGGATCGACGCTACAGAGCGCGTGCGGCCTACTGGAACAGGTATTTCAGGCCGATCTGCGCGCGGCGGCCGTAATACTCCACCTGCAGCGGCCGCTGCGGGCTGCCCTGGTAGTACTTCAGCGGTTCGTTGGTCAGGTTGCTCAGTTCAGCGAACACGGTCCAGCGATCAAACGTGTAGGACGCGCTGAAGTCGACCGAGGTGTTGGCACCGTACCAGGCATCGGTGGTGCTGCTGTCGCCATGCGATTCGATGTAGGCGCCCTTGTGGTTGGTCGCCAGCCGGGCGGCGAACGCACCATCGTCGTAGTACACGGTGACGTTGTAGAGACGGTCGGCCTGGCCGGTGATCGGTACGTTGCCGCTGCGGCCCGGGATGCGCATGCGCGAATCCATCAGGGTCAGGTTGGCGTTGATGCCGAAATTGCTCCACAGGCCCGGCAGGAAATCGAAGCGGCGCACGAAGGCGAACTCGGCACCCCACAGCTTGGCGTCGTCGCCGTTCTCGGGCCGGTAGAAGGTGACATTGCTGTTGCCGTTGAAATTGCCGGTGCTGCTGCTCTGGAACACCGGGTTGCTGATGTTCTTGTAGAACACGCCGCCGGACAGCAGGCCCAGCGGTCCGGCATACCACTCGGCCATCAGATCCAGGTTGTCCGAATAGGTCGGGTCAAGATCGGCATTGCCGGAAGTAAAGGTGCCATCGGCCTCCATGAACGAGCCACCCGGATTGATGTCACCGAAGTTCGGGCGGGCAAAGCTGCGGGTCAGGCCCAACCGCAGGTTCAGGTCACTGCGCGGCGAAAAGCGCACATTGAGCTGCGGCAGCACCGAGGAGTAGCGCTTGCGACCCAGGTTGGGCACCAGCGCGCTGCTACCATCGGCATCGCGCTCCAGCACCTGCCCACGCACGTCGGTGGCGGTGCGTTCCAGGCGCACGCCACCGACCACGTCCCAGCGCTCGTCCGGCGTCCAGGTGCCCATCGCATAGGCCGCGTACTGCTTTTCGGCCACGTCGAAGTTGCGGCCCAGCGCCGCGCCATTGGCCACCAGCGCCGAATCGCCCGGCACCAGCACCAGATGCTGCTTGTTCTGCCGGTACCACTCGGCCAGGGCCTGCATCGGCACCACCTGCGAGAAGTCACGGGCGTAGTCGCGGCCGTTGCCGATGTCATAGCCGCTGCGGCCGGGCTGGTCCATCAACGGGAAGTCGGCCAGGGTCGGCACCGGGCCGCCGGTTGCGGTGTTCCAGGCATAGAACTCGTCGGAGAAGCGCGCGCGACGCTGCTTGTCACGGTACTTGGCACCCGTTTTCCAGGTCAGCGTGTCGCTGGCGTCGAAGGTGAAGTCCAGCTGCGCGACGGCCCTGTCCTTCTCATTGACCGCCACCCGGTACAGCTCCACGGCGCTCAGCGACATCTTCCGTGGGTCCATCGAAAAGCCCGGCGGCAGATGGGTCTGCGGGGTATCGGCGGCGACGTTGCCGCCATCGATGGTGTTGTACGAGTTGCGCCCTGCACCGCGATCCTGCAGGCCCTGGTAGCCGACCTTGCCTTGGTTGAACTGGACCACGAAGTAGGCGTTGTCGGCACAGGTGGGAATGCAGCCGTAGCGGAAGTCGTTCTCGGCGCTGGCCAGCTTCCAGTCCACCTGGCCGCGGCCGAAGGTGTGCTGGCCACCGAACTCGAAGGTCCTGAACTCGGTGATCAGCTCGTTGTGGATGTTCTGCAGCTCGACGCGATCCTTGTCGAAACGGTAGCGGTGCTTGTAGTGCGTCTCATCGTCGCTCAGTTCGCCATACTGGCCGCGCACGTACAGCCGGTGACCATCGGCCGGCAGGAATTCCATGCCGCCATTGACACCGCGGGTGGTGCGCTCGCCAGTGTAGTCACGCAGCTCCAGGCGGTAGATGCCAAGGCCATCGGCACTACGCCGCGGCTCGAAGTTGTCGGTCGCCCACGGGCGCTTCCAGTAGGTGCCGTTGATCAGGAACCCGAAGCGGCCATCGGCGCTGCGGTCGCCATACAGCACATTGGCGCTGGTACCGGTATCGACGGCCTTGTCGT